CACTACTGTGTCTGAAAAGCACAGTTTATAACCCCAAGCATCCTGTCTAGCGATGCCGACGGCTCCCTGCGAGACCCTAACCGTGCGTAACGCGCCTGGATCTGGCTTCGCCATCTGCAGACGGAACAGAAGACGACAATGCCTACAAGCGCCCAGATCTAGCAGTCTTTTCTCTTGAGCAAGACATTTCAATGACGCTCTGGCCCCGGCTTCCCCATCTGTAGAACAGGTTTACCACGCTTCATTGGATTTAATACAAGATTTAGCAAACTGTAGCCTGCAGGCCTGTTTTTGTACAGCCCAGGAGCTAAAAGTGTTTTTTTTCTTTTTTTACATTTTTATACAGTTGAAAAAAATCAAAGGAAGAATAATATTTCATGACACATGAAAATTATATGAGATCTAAATTCCATAAATAAAGTTTTATTGGAACACAGCCACGCTCATTCATTTAAGGATTGTGAATTGTTGCTGGTGCAACACAGTGACAGTTAAGCAATTACAACAGAGACTGTATGGCCTGGGAAGCCTAAAGTATTGACTATGTGACCATTTACATAAAAAGTTTGCCAACCTCTGGTTTAACACATTTGTAAAATGCACCATTTTTATGTACCACTAGCAAGGAAAAATGCTGCCAAATTAAATTGTACCATAATGCTTTCCTATTACTTAGATTTTTTTATTTTACACTTATTGAAAGTTATTTCAGACTATTTAAACCTAGCTTGGTATCACACTTGTGAATACATAAAAAGGAAAATGTATGCAAAATGAATTGATGAAGTTACTCCTAAAAGATCTTCATATCCAGAGGCCAACTCTTCTGAATCACTTTTTGACTCAAAATCTTTGTTTTACTTCTGTCCTTGTTTTGCACACAATATCATCCTCACGCCTCTGTGTAATGCAGCATTTCTTTTTTTTTCATTATTGAGGTCACATTGTTTATAGCATTATATACATTTCAAGTGTATATCTTTATATTTAGACTTCTGTTTAGACTGCATTGTGTTCACCACCAAAAGTCTAGTTGCCATGTGTCACCATGCACATGTGCCCCCAAAGAACACGAAAACACTAATTCAAAAAGATACATGCACCCCCATGTTCATTGCAGCATTATTCACAATAGCCAAGACTTGGAAACAACCTACGTGCCCATCAATGGATGAATGGATAAAGAAAATGCAGCATTTCTTAAAAGAATGCTTGGTCATCATCTCGGGATTTTCTTCCCAGCTGCTGACACCTGATCTGGAAGTTCTTATTTGAAGATACAGGCTGTGACAATTATGCTGTGACTGCTGCCTGGCCAGCGGTGATTTTAAGCAACATCCCGATTTCAGAGATGTTAGAATGTGTGGCAGGGAGGGTGGCAGGGAGAGTGATATGAACAATAAACTTTTTCGATATTGTAACAATTGTTGACTGGCTGGGTGACAACAGGAAACAAAACAGATCCAAGTTCTGTCTTCAAGCAGCTACAGTCTAGTAGGTTAGGAAGACAATAGACAAAAAAAATATATATGGTTTGTATCAATGGGTGATGAGTGCTCCAAAGTTAAATAAGCAGAATGGGAAGAGAAGAGGGAAGAAGAGGAGAGGAGGAGGAAGATGAAGAGGAGAGGGGAAGAAAGAGAAGTGCATGCCGGGAAGGTGCTGCTGAGGGAGCGTATATCAGGGAAAGCCTCCTGGAGGAGGTGGCATTTGAGCAGAGACCTGATGGAGTGAGGGAGTGAGCCACAGGGAGACGTGGGGAAGAGAGCTCCAGGTGGAGGGACAGCAGGTGTGACCCCAGTGGGAGGGCAGTGAGGTGGGGGTGGGAGATGAAAGATGAGGTCAGAGAGGCAGTCTGAAGCCAGGTCAAGCATGAAAGAATTCTGGATTTTATTTCTAGTCTGATGGAAAGCCACTGGGGGTGTTGAGCAGAGGAGTGGCATGATCTGACAAATATTTTTAAAGGATCGCTCTGGCTTCTCTGGTGTAGAATGTGGGGCTCGGGCAAGAGCAGAAGCAGGGAGACCAGCTCAGAGTGGAGGGGTGAAGGCGGCTTGGAACAGGGTGACTGTGGTGGAGACAGTGAGAAGTGGTCAGAATTTGAAAGGAGAGCCAACAGGGTTGCTGATGACTAGGAAATAGGCACGAGAGAAAGAGGGACAACGGGGATGACTCTAAGGGTATGGTCTGAGGAACTGGAGGAATAGAGTCACCATTTTCTGAGATGGGGAAGTCTACGGAGGGATGGAAAGTCAGGAATTCCATTTGGGACTTGCCCAGTTTGAAATGTCTATAGACGGCCTAGTGACCCAAGGTGGGCAGCCAAGTGGACAGCTCTGCATTTCAAAGGAAAGGACCAGACTAGAGAGAAACCCCAGGAGACATCAGAGCATAGATGGCCACCAAAGCCATGAGCCTGGATGAGCTCACACAGCGAGTGGGTATCCGTGGAGAGGAGACTACCCCGAGGGCTGAGCCCCTGGGCCCTCCAACATGAAGAGTTCGGAGAGATGAGAAGAGACCAGCAAAAAGACAGAAGGAGCCACTAGTGAACAGGACGGCTACCTCATTCATAGGTCCCAGAGCAAAATGAAAATGCAGGCCCCCTTGCTCAAAATTATTAGGAATTTCAAGATGGCAGCAGCAGAGCCTTCAACAAAGCTGGGGGCATTCTGAGCATTACTCTCTGCAAATGCACAGGTCACACATCCGTGAAGCTGGCCCTGTGGGTGACATAGGACGCCAGGGGAACGTGGAGTCCCAGATGCCAAGAGAAAAAAGGTATTTCAAGGAGAAGAGAATGACCAATTAACTGGGTCAATAAATGAGGACTGAGGGCCCACTGGCGGATGTGGCAAGGTAGAGACCACTGGTGGCCTTGTGAAGAGCAGCTTCTAGAATGGAGTGGGGACAAAGCCCACTTGGGTGTGTTCAAGCAGAAAGAGAGAAATAGAGTTGGCAGGTAGATGACTTTGGAGGGGTTTTGCTGTAAAGAGAAGCAGAAATGTGGAGCATTTCTGGAGGCCACCACGGAACCCAGGCAGGGACTGTATTATTACTATCATGAAACGATTCTGTAGAGAACAGAAGTTGATAAAGCGGGAAAGAAAGGGGAGCGTTTGCAAGAGAAGTGTCCTTCAGCAGGCGGGGGGTTGGAGGAATTGGCCTTCTGTGGGAGGACAGTTCCTTGATGGCGTGGGCAGGCAGGCCAGCCTGTGACGGGCGGGGCCGTGTGGAAATTCTTGTTCCAGCCACCTTCTCAGTGGACAGACAAGCAGGGCATCGCTGAGACGAGGGTGGAAGGAGGACGTTTTTGAGGTTGAAGAGAGAGGAGCAATTACGGAATGTCCATCCGGGAAAGAGGGAGGGAATGGTCCCAGCTCTGTATTCTGAACGCCTTTTGACCGCTCCCCGCAGTAAGAAATACATTTTGCATCAAGACCCAGGGTACAACCCATTTCACAAAACAGTGTTCAACCTTGTTATATTCGGTGGGCTCTGCCCTTTTTCATTCTATCTCATTTCCTTGATGCTTGTCAGACCCACTAAATTGGTTTCTTGACTCACAAATGAATCTCGAGCTGGAGTGTGAAAAACAGGGGCTGGGAAACAGGGTTGACTTGCAGACACACTGGGGCCTTGCTTGAGTTGGTGGTCGTCATGTAAAGGAACACCTGGGTGCAGGTGTGGAGGAGACAGAAAGCTAGATTTAACCAAGACTGAGATTTTGCCAAGGAGGTACCACTCAGCGAGAGGGGAGCGAGGGGCATGGGGGTGTACACAGGAGAGGGATTTTACTGATGGGTCATAGGATCTAACGAGGGAGTTGAGGACTTGAGGGGTGAAAGGCAGTAAAAGGAGGGTAGTGTGGGTAGAATGGAGGTGAGGCCCAAGAACTATGGAGACAGGGAATCACAGGGGGCGACAGAGCAAGACAGGAAGCATTGGGTAAAGTGTGGAATTGGCCAGGCGGTGGGGAGGGGCAGTTGCCAGATATTGGCGAAAACAAGGTCCAGGGTGTAACCATGGAGGTGACTGGCTGAGGGGGAGGGAGGACAAGTTCATTGGAGGAGACGAGTCTAAGGAACCAAGAGGCTGGGGTATTTGAGGGATCCTCTCTGCAGATTCTAAAATCCCCCCAAATTAGGACCCGAAAGTCCAGGTTGGAGACATGGCAAGTAGCCAGGGGCTAAAAGCTTCGGTCTCAGAGACACAAACTAGGGTCCACAGATGGCTGCAAGGAAGAAGGGGTGGCAGGTTTTAATCTCATCATGCGTGGCTTACCCTGGACAGCAGGATGGGCAAGGCGTCCGTCCGTCCGTCCGTCCGTCCGTGTGTGTGTCGTCCCCCACCCCCGCCCCAACCCCTTACACGGAGTGTGGGAGAGGAAAAGAAGTCTGCTTGAAAGGCTGCCAGGGACACTGTGTGCTCAGGAGAGATCCAGGCGTCCTCCAGAACAAGAGGACGAAGGGACTGCCTGGGGAGGAGGCTGAGTGCGTGGAGAACCTTGCTGGTGGTGCCTCTAAGTCCTGGAGGGCACAGCAGAGGGTCTGGGCAGGGGCGTCCCCAGGGCGTGGGGAGGCGGGGCCATCTGCCCCCGCAGGGGGGACTGTGACCGCTGACCTTGGCTAGAACAGTGGGTGCATGGTGATTATGAAAAGCAGGCTGACTTTTATTGGTTTTATTCACGTTTTAAATTCTCTACAGCCCTTCTTGCCTGACCCGGGCAGACGGCTGCCTCCCACCCCCTTTGCTGGCCGCTGGTTTGAGGAGTTGGGAGATGTGAGAAACTGAGTCAGGCAGGGAAGCACCGGGAACAGTAGGGGATGAGACTTGGTGGGGCTGGGGGTGGGAATAGCTAACCCCCATGTGAGCCACCCTCCTCTCTAAGGGCTTCATGTTCGGTGACTCATTGAATCCTCTCGACCACCCTGTGTGCAGGCTCTGTGATTAGCCCCATATTGTGGAAGAAGAAACCGAGGCACTGAGAGGGACGCGACATGCCCGAGGGTGCACAGCTTCCAGGGGGGAGAGCCGAGGCCCCCATCGAGGCCACCTGGCTCCAGACTCTGCTCTGGACCCCCGTGTGGCCCTCCCTCGCGCTGGGCGTCACTGTGATGACCCAGGGCCCTGGCTCCTCACGGTGCTGCAGTACACGGGGCTGTGAGTGTTGGGTTCATCCTGGTGGTCGCTTGTGCTGTGAGGGATGAGGAGTGGGGTGTTTCCCGGGGTGCCTGGATCTCCATGGTCCCCTCCTTAATCTCTCCAATGGCTGTGTCTTTGAGCAGAGGGCCAGGTCCTTGAGCCCAAGGACCTCAGTGGGCAGCCTCAGCAGCTCCTGTCTCTGTCTAACGAGGATGCAGAAGGACAGGTTCCCGGGACGCAGCCAGTCACTGCTGGAGGCAGAGTCAACGCAGGGCTCCACACCTGTTCCCAGAATAATAAAGTTCCTTCTTTAAGGCAGGTCAAGTTGGGGTTTCCCTCCCTTACGGCCAAAAGCATCGTAATTGAATTACAAGGAGGGTCTGCTGGCACGAGGTCCAGGGCAAAACAACCCGGAATGTAGGGAAAGTCAAGATTTGGCGAGTCGAGCATCAAAGAGGTCTGGCAGCCAGGCTGTAACCACCAGGAAGACGTCCCCATTCCCTGAGCAGGGGGCCTCATAAGGTGGAGCAGGGCCCCATACGGGACGACTGGATGTAGAGCAAGGACTCGGGATGCACCGTCAGGCCGTTTCCTGGTGTGCGAGTGACAGAAGAGGTAGGGATACCAGCCCGAGCGTGACGCTGCCCGTCCTGGAGCCCAACCGCCACCACGCAGTGGCTGTGTCCCTTAGAAAACAGCTGAACCTCTCTGTGTCAGTTCCCTTCTCTGCCACATGAGGACGGAAAAGCACCTGCCTCTGGGGTTGCCAGGTGCACAGATGAGGTCATCCTCACCAGGTGCTTAGTACAACGCCCGACGATGCTGAGAAAGTGGCAACTACGAATAACCTTCAGCCTCCCCCGCTCCCCTAGGCTTTCTGCCTGGTGGCCACACCCTCCCACGCTCCAGTCCCCTCCGCTCCTGCCTGTCCCACTTATGCACATCCTTGAAGATGCAAGCTTGGGCGTCATCTCCTCCAGGAAGCCTTCCCTGCTTTCCTCCCACTCCAGGTCTGGGTAGATGTTTTCTCTGTGCCTCTCCCTATTGAGCTGTTGAAATCTGCCTCTTCAGCACCTATGGTAGCAGGTGGCACATCGTAGGTGCTCAGTGATTGTTGACCAAATGAGGGAGTGAGCAAACAAGCTGAGGAAGTAGGGGCTGGGTTTCAGGAACAAGACAGAGGTTTATTTATCAATACCAAGGGACAAGCAGTGAGAAGGGCTCGTGCTGAGTTCCCTGATGCCTCCCCACACACACCTTCCACGTCCTATCAGTCTCAGGGCTGTTTTTCATTCACGCAACGAATATTCCTGAGCTCCTAATGTATTCCACACCCTTGGCACTAAAGATGCAGAAGTAAACAAGATATTCATAATTCCTCATCTCTTTACGCCTATTGTGTTCTAGGAGCAGAAACGGACACACAAGGAAATACGTAAAATACAAGATAATTTCAGATCAAGGTAAGCATTAGGGAAAAAAATGAAAGGATGCAGGGAGTTCCTTTAAATGGGGTAGGCAGGGAAGACATTTGAACAGAGATTGAAATGAATGATGAGAGGGAGGAAGCCAGGTGAAGACCTGAGGAAGGACTTTCCAATACAGAGGGAACCAGCAGCAAGTGCAAAGGTTCTGAGGCAGGCCCAGGCTTGGTGTGTTGGAAGAAACAGGGGAGTAATGCTTGGGGAGCAAGAGGAAGGCAGGGAAGCCAGTCAAGAAAGAGCATAGAGGCCAAAGTAATCCAAGTGCAATGAGAAGCCTTTAGAGGTTTAAGCAGGTTCAAGCCTGATCTGACTTATGTTTTTAAAAGGGGCAATCTGGCTGCTGTGTTAACAAATGACTAGGGAGGGAGGGCAAAGGTAGAAGCAGGGAGGCCGTGAGGAGGCTTTCACGGTTGTCCGAGGAAGAAGCAATGTGGCTTGAACAAGTGCAGGGGCACTGGAGGTGGAGGGAAGGGTGGCTTGGGATATATTGCGGAAGTAGAGACCACAGGACCTTGTGAGTGTACCAGGTAATCAAGCCAGCCCAGCTGTGAGGACTCGGACCCAAGAGGCGGCTACTGTCTTTCCAACTTTGCCCTGGGATGGCTCTGCCTGAGCCGTGTTCCCAATGTGTCTGGCATTCGTCCCACAGCCAGCCACCAGCTGTGGGTGGACGCCTCCTGCCTGGTACGTTTTTCCTCCCCTCCCTGCCTTCTGCACGCAGAGTCATCCATTATCACCATTCTCTTCCCTGAGGATTCTGGCTTCTGCCTCTATCTGAAGTCACCTCCTATTAATATAAGTCAAGAAAATACCAATGGCCAACCATAGCTCTGCCCGGGGTTTTATCACAGCAAAGGGGCTTTGTGTACTTTGTCTCCTTCCAGCCTCAGAAGTCATAATAATGGCTAATATTCATTGAATATTTATGAGGCAACAAGCTGAGAGCTTTCCTTACTGTTGTGGGTTGAATTGTGTCCCCTGCAAAAGATATGTTAACATCCTAACCCCCAGTACCTGCGAATGTGACCTTGTTTGGAAACAGGGTCTTTGCAGACTTAATCAAGTTAAGACGAGGTCATTAGGGCAGGTCCTAATCCAGTATGACTGGTGGCCTTATTAGAAGAGAACAGACGCAGAGACGACACGCAGGGGAAAGGCCGTGTGACAAGAGAGGCAGAGACCGAAGTGATGTGCCTACAAACCCAGGTAGGCCAAGACGTCGAACGCCCTGGGGATAAGGTCTTACGAAGACCAGGAGGCGGAGCCAGGAACGAGCCCCCCAGACCCTCAGATTCCTGACTCCCTCCACCCTGCAAGCTCGTCCCTTTCACATTCTTGGACATAAAGTCTTCAATTTTAGGTAGTGATTCCGGTTTATAAAGAGTCTTCAACTCTCTTCTGGGTTCACTGATCCCCCAGTCTGTGAGGGACGCAGGAAGACCTTCATCTCACAAATGATGAAACTGAGTCTCAGAGAAGCCAGGTGCATGAGCCCTTCCTGGCCCCTCTGACCCCTCTGACCCCACTCCAAGGCTGGCCCCCATTTGTGCCATCAGAGGGGTAGATGCTTAAAGGCATGAGGGACCCGTCCAGGCCTTAGAGCCAGACAAGCAAAGCTAGAAGGGCCATCTGGGCTCGCCTGGTCCAAACCACTCATTTCACAGAAAGCTGAAGCCCAGAGAGGGAGGGCAGCTTAGCCAACATCACACAGCTTGAGAGACCTCGATCTCTAGACCCAAAGATCCAATACTCTTCCATCCAAACCACAGCCACCCTACGTACTAGTCACGGTCCGGTCAGGAAACCAAACCAGGGAAAATCTAACGTACAGCATTATTCATTAGTAACAGGGATTAACTACGGAGAGGAATAAAGAGAACAGAAATAGCGGAAGTAAGGAGTGGGCCCCACCTCCAGCGCTGAGGCAGGGCCCCAGGGGAGGACTACCTTTGAAAGAAGCTGACACCCGACCCCAAGTCTGAGATTCGGAACTGGTTGGGGAGGGTGTGGCTGAGGCCGGCTGGGTGGTGGAAGCTTGCTAGGGTGCCACAGGCCGGGGCTCATGGGCAGGAAACCACCCACTGGGGTGCAGCAAGCCTCGCTGGAGGATGGGCACCCCCAGACCCCCTCATGTCACTGGCAGAGAAGCCAGCTGCTGGTGTAGAAGCCGCCTGCTTACAGCCATGCCCTGAGAACAGGAAGAAACAGAAGCCTGAGACCCGGAAAAGACGCCGTCTCCTCCTACAGGGACCCTCCAGCGCCCTCTGCTGACCAGGCCTAACATTGCGCCTGCTGGTGGAGGAGAAGAGTTTACAGGGTCCAGCTCCATGATTCCAGATCAGGGCAAGGAAGGGTGGGCTTGGAGCTGAAACACAATCAACTGACGACTGGCCCACCCCGTGATCAGAGGAACCAGCTAATTTCCTCAGCGTGATATTCAAAGCCCTCCATGGTCCAGCCCCTCCCCTCTTACATGGCGTGCTCCACGCATAGCTTATAGTTTCCCCAACAAGGTAAGCTGCTCGACGCCTCCTCCTGCTCAGGCTGCACCCACTGCCTAGAATACCTTACCCCTCCTCCTGTCTGCCTCCATCCTATCTAAAGGCACGTTTTGAATACCTGCTGTGTTCCAGTCACTATTCTAAGCCCTCTTCATGCACTCTCTCGTTTCATCATTTGTGGTCACCCTGTTGAGGGGGCAGCAATAGCCCCATTTCCCAGGCGAGGAGACTGAGGCTCAGAGGGCCCAGGTAAATGGCACAAGGTCACTCAGCAGGTGAGAGCAGAGCTGGAATTCAAGCACTGTCCCCTCACCGCCTCCCCCAGGAGGGCTGCCCCTCCCATTCCAGGGCTGTCCCCACTGGTCCCAGTAAAGGTCATCCCCAGGGAGGGCCATGGTCTGGATTCCGTCCAGGGGTGCTGGCCTGCAGAGCTCTGCTCGTTTACCAGTTTGCCACCCCAGTCACCCCCTTCCCCACACGTGTCCTCGCTCCAGACCGTGAGATGGCCTCCGGCTCTGCCTTCCAGCTCTGGAGCAGCCTGACACCATTCGTTATCACGGTATTCCAGGATTTTGAACAATATGAAATCTGAATCATTTACATCTTGAGACATACCCAGAGAGTTATATGCTGAATAAAAAGCTCAAAATGAACCCAAATGACTGCCTCGGAGGCATTCTGACCACATCCTCCCTGGTATGGAACAATTTCCAGGTATCCTGTGGTCATGGAAATAGGAAATTCCTATTTCCTGGGTTACTGATGAGATGGAGCACTTTTCTTGGTGTTAGTAATCATTTCCATTTCCTCCAGAGTCTGTTTGAACCCAAGACTATTTCCTAAAGTCCTAATGGAGTCATCTTCGCAGAGGGTGGGGAGATGGAGGGAAACAGAAGGAAGCATAGGGTAGGGAGGCAAGGGGAAGGAGGGAGGTCCCAAATCCAGCTCCCAGCCTCAGGAGCCTGACCACCTACCTCCCTGCAGGGCGGGCTCCCTCTGCCCCCACCAGGGCC